GCCAGGAAAAAAAAACATTTTCCTACATGGGGGAACTGGTCATGCTGGGAGGAGCTCCTGGCATGCCAGGTCTCAGGGGGGTTTGTGGTAGAATGAAGACACTGGGATGGTGTTTTCAGCTCCTTTCACTTGGTCCACACCTTCCTCTCACTTCAAGCACAGCCAGGGTGTCATGTCCTTTTCCTCATGCCCAGTAATCCTGAGCTGCCAGTTTGGGCACATAAGAAAGGTCATATTTACTTGCACTGGAAACAGAGCAGTCATGCAGCTGCCCAGAGTGCAGCACTGGGTGGGAGGGTACCCCAGCCCCGCTCCCAGCAGGCTGGGCCTGCCCTGCGCTCTGCTCTCCCTGCATCAACATCTGCACAGAGACCTCAGCCATGGCCACCCCCGGCCCCAGCACTGGCTTAGGGACCACAGGTGACTGAGCAGCATGAGATTTTCCCCTCAGACACTACCCACGGCCCTTGCTCTGCACCTTTGCATGGGCAATGGGCTGTGGCACCTGCTGCCACCAGCACTGGCTGCCACAACTGAGCACCAGCCACCAGCTCCTGCCAGGACCTGCATGCTTCTGTTAGAGGACAGTGCCTGGGCAGGGTGGTTACCACGATGAACCCAACAGCACCTGCTGCAGGGTGTCTTTGCCAAGAGGGGTGTGGAGCAGGGCCCTGTGGGGTGGGCATGTGGTTCTCAGGTGACCCCTACAGAGCCCGATGCTTGTCACTGCACACCTTTGGGAAATGCATTGCAGTCACAGGACCTTGATTAGCTGGAGTATGGCCAGAGACAATGCTCATTTCCCTGAAAAGTAGCTGTGTGTGGAAATAGTTCCTGGTTTATGGTAAGTTCGTGGGTCCTCCCATCAGCACCAGGTTTGGCAGCTGTCCTGAGCTCTCCATCAGGCCCTGCACAGGCTGTGGTGTGCTCTGTGGCAATGATGGCCTCTCTCCTGAGGACTGTAGCACAGAACCTGCTTTCTTTTTCCCTGACATCCACCTGTGCCATTGTTTCCTTCTGAGGACAGGCAGGCAGGAACAGAATAACTGGGCATCAGCCTCTTCTGCATTCCAGCACAGGAACAGAGCTGCAGCACAGAGCAGCAGCTGTCCTAGTTTTCTGGTAAGTAGCTGAAAGAGCTGAAAGACAGTGAATTCCCCTGTTGGAGGTCAGGTCAGAGTTCTGCAGAGGTGTAAAAGCCCAACTGCTGCAGTGGGGTCAGGCAGCATGAAATCCCTGGTGTGCAGGTCCCAAGCCAGCAGGTGTGCTGCCTGCCACAGGGCTAGAGACCCTTCCAGTTCAGAGCCAGCAGCACCGGGCAGAGCTGCCATTCCCAAAAGGTGCAGGAACAGGAAGGGGGCTACAATGGAATGCATGATTTGGGAACTGTGAGGAGTGGTGGTGTTGCATGGCAGACAGGCCATACCAGGCTCCTCTCTGGATTATCAGGAGCTGATTTCCCTCCCACAGCCCTTAGCCAGCTGTGCAGGAGTCCCTGATGTTCCCCAGGAGGGACACACTAGTCATCCTCCTGGGGCCAAGCATGGGGGGCTGGCTGTCCAGGCTGGCTCTGTGGCCTTGTGTGCATGTCCCTTTGAGTCACAGGAAAGTTCAGCAGCTGCTGGTGAGGGTGGGGTGTTGATGGAAAAGCTGGGGTTCGCCTGAGCTGGGAGGCATGGGAGGGTGGCATGGCAGCCATACCTGTGTGCTCCTGCCTACAAGCGTGGGCTTGCTGAAAGAACAGTTGGAAACCACTGGAGATGTTCTTGTTTGCAGTTAATGTGGCTTTATTATTAATGTGTTGGGCTCCTCTCTTGACAGCAGTTAGTTACAGAGTGTTTCACGTGGAAATGGGCAAAAGGACAGAACTCAAGGAACTAAATTCAAATAGAAATATGATGCTGAAGAAAAGAATTAGGGCTCTCTTCTTAAAACATTTAGCATAGAAGAAGCTAGGAGCACAAGATGCCATTTCAATACAGTTAAGACGTTCACTTTTTTAATTATAGGTTTAAAATAGTATTTTTTACCTATTACATACAGGAAGAGTACGCGTTGTTGCCCACATGCAGAAACAAGCAAAAGCAGAGTTTAACTGTTTCTCTCTATTAGTGTTGTATTACCTCTGGCTCCGGGTGGGTCCTGCTGGCTCCTGTGGCCTAAGCAGGGTCAGACTCTACGAATCAGCATTTTCAGAAGTCTTTTTCCCGTAGTTTTTTTTTTTTTAAGATGGAAGGGGGTGGAGGGGAGAGGGAGATAGGGCATGAGAGAAACTCAAGGCAGGACAGACTGCGACAAAAACTGAAAATAATGTAGAGCCTTGAGGACAGGGAAGTAAACTGGTGTAGGATAAAGGTAGCTAAGCAGCAGAGCTGCAGAGGGCAAGAGCAGAGCGTGGAGGAAATTCCTCCTGGAATCCACCCGTGGCTACGCTCCTGCCCAGAGGATGCAGGCACCTCACAAAGCCTCACTATTAATGCTGCTTAGTCAGAATTGCTTCAAGTTTGAAATTGAGAAAACATTCATGTGTGGGTCTATCTAAAGTTAGTGCATTAGCTTTTACATCTAGCTACGCAGAGGGAGCCCAGGAGCCAGTGAGGGCCATGCTTGTGCCTCTGGTGTCTGGCATCCGGCAGCTGCCACTGTGGTGGGTGAGCCAGGGTCTCTCCAAAGCACTGCAGGCAAAGCCCCCCAGCATTCCCAGGAGGGGCAGGTGCAGGTGTTTTAGTGCCTGCAATTGCCAGAACCAACATTCATGAATGCTGACCCCATCAGGGTACAGAGAATGACATTTATTATGCTGGCAGACACGGTGTGATTTCATGGTTAAAATGAACACAGCACAGGGCAGGGATTTGCTAAAGCCCTGAGTAAGCTCACATACTCCTAACAAGGGCCATATCCAAAGAGCTGGCTGTGCCTTGGGGAGGCTGCTGGCCTCAGGCCTTGTCCTACAGCTGCTGGGTTTTAGACATAGCCTTGCAGAAACATTTTTGTTGCCCACAAGTTCTCTATGGTCTTTTTGTTTTGTTTAAATTGCAGCATGTTAGTATTAGTACTGAGAAACCTCTGAACTGACACTAAAAGGACATGGTATCCATGTTAACATGTATAAATTAAAATATTAAATCAACACAAAATGCAGCTTAACATTAAAAAAAAATAAATATATAAATTAAAATGCAAAATAGACCATTTCCCTAGAAACTCCATTTTAGTGCTAGGAGCAGGTTTCTAAGCAGCATTTTCTTCATGGCACCTGCCAGAAAACTAGCACTGAGACTGAAGTGTCCCAGGCAAGTGCAACACAGGGCCCAGGGATGCTCATGGTGGAGTCAGCCCTCTGCTCAGGGCCAAGCACAGTGGGTGTCACAGCAGATGGAAATACTTTGTGCTGTCAACCATTGCAGCACAGCTTTCCATCTCATTCCTTCTTCCCCAGAACACAGCCTGCTGCCACTCTCTCTGTCTTACAGAAAGGCTGTCTTTGTGGTAAGATCGTCTGTCAGTTCTCTTGGACGTGGCAAAGGCTCATGGATGCTGCAGGCTTCGTGCACCTGAACACCTCACTCCTTGCTGGGAGAACGTGTCTCCCACGCTGAAACAGGTCAGTGTGCCAAGGAGGTTCTGGGTGGCTGTTCAATAGCCACACTGCACTCGTGGCACAAATTGGTGTTTCTGCCAGGACATCCAGAGAGCAGGGACAGATGCCCACAGATGCATAGGCCAGGGAACAAGCTGCAAGGTGGTACCACAGGGATGAGCAGTACCTCACCTGTGCTGTCAACGCATCCCTGCCACAATGAGGAGGAACTGAGAATGACTACACTTGATAAACTACTTTTTCCCGAGTATTTTGGGAAGGGCCTTCTCTTCCCTCACACCACAAGTTCTATTCCCCACATCCTGGACACTTGCGGGACAACAAAAAGCTTGAACACAACTATAAGGCTTGGACCCTGGCACACAGGCAGCGAGGAGATGGCTGCTGCCATGCAAGCTGGCACACCACAGCCACACTAGCTGGGCACCAGCCCCCAGCGTGGCCTGCATGCTCCTCAGCTGCCTCACCACAGTCCTCCAGAGCCTTTGGTTTAGGGACAGGGAGGTTTCTTGTAGGTCCTGGGCCAACAGTGGCCAAGGTTTTTTTCAGCCCTTCTGCTGTTAAGGGGGCTGTAGTTGTGCGTTTGGATGCTCTTTTTGTGTAACTTTAGGCTACAGCCTCTCTGCCTCCTCCTGACACACAGCTGGTGGGCAGGAGTCAGCTGGCTGCTGTGTGTGCAATGCTCAAGTTAGCAAGTTAGGAATGTGCTGAACCCTCCCCTCCCACTGCCATGTCCTTCATCCCAGCTCCCTGAGCACAGCAATCAGGTGGTGCAGGATGCTGCAGGAAAGCACTTGGGACAGAAATCTGCCAGTCTGGCATGTGGTGGTCATGCCTAGTTGGAGCACAGGTCCTCTTGCTCAGAACACCTCCTGTATGCTCAGGAGGGGAGATGGAAGAATGACCTTCACTGTCATATTACAGTCAGAGGGTTTTGTCTTCCCTCATCTCCCTGGGGCAATTTCTTTGCAAGTTAGATTTTGCCTCTGCCCCCTGCCTCCCGTGCACTCTCTGCATGCAGCAGCAGCAGCAGCAGCACTTCAGCCCTCACCAGAAAGGTGAGGTTCATGGTGCTACAGATTAAATGGCAAGGCAGCCAGGAAGAGAGTAGAACAAGCTCTCACAGCAGCAAGGCAGCCAAGATAGTCTACAGAAACTGTACAGGCAGCAGAATAAAGCAGGGAAGGTGAAAGTGCCCCTGGCCTGCAACTGCTCTTGCACAAACTCTTAGCTCAGTCCAGAAAATTACAGAGCCCTGCACTTCTTCCTCATGGCATCCAGTGCTGAGCAGGATGGATACCCGATTGCCTGACAAATGGGAACCATGTAGAGGACTAAACCAGAGAAGAACTGGACTGTGATTAGATGGTGTCTCTCATGTTGCATCGGTGATTGAAGAGTCAATGGATGAACACAAAATGTGGGAGATTTAGAATTCAATCTTACAGGCTGGAAAAGATTCATCCTGCATCACAACAGTGCTGCTGCTTGCCAGTACCATGATGTTCAGCTCCTGCTGTTTCTCATGGGTCTGTTGATACCATTCTCGTGTTACCTCAGTATCGTGTGTTGGGATCAACGTCACCTGGGAAAAGAAAGCAGCAGGGATGATTGAGAACAATTGCAGTGACAAACAATGCCCATAGGAGCTGAGACTAAAATTTCTTGTTAATTTTGGAACACCGTACCCTTGGTACTGCTTGTTCTATTTAATGTCTTTCAGATGTCGGGTTCTGAGGCAGAGCTTTTTTTTATAGAGTACCAGCACAATGGGGCTCTGAACTGGCTGCAATAATGCTGAGAATGGCTGCAGTGCAGGGGAGAGCATCGTGCTCTGGAGCTCCACAAACAGCCTCAGAAAGATCCTTCAGTGTGAAAAGGAACAATGCTGGCAGTGTCAGTGTTAATGGGCACTATGTACCCATTGACCAGTGTACAACTCGGGGACCTCGAAATACGAGGCTGCTTCATCTGGAAGACCATACACACACCTTTCTGTACATGTCTTCAGGAGTGCCCCCTGGGGTGTCCTGCAAGCCTGCCCAAGTGAGAACTGTGTAACAGAATATTCTTGTTTAAAAGCTCTATTAGTAAGTTGCTGTCAGAAAAATCTTCAGCAAGCCAGGCTAGCAACAGATGCCACTGGGTGTGGGACACTGATGAAAATTCAGTTAGTGTTGGTGCTCGATTTTGCTTGAGGATAGGTTCATCCTGCAGTAGCTAAGGAGGAGTGTAGGATCTCTCAATGCTTCCTCCCCTCAGGAGGATGTGGAAAAGAGGACTTATCTGCTTCTTCTGACCACTTGTGACATCAAAAGCATGACACATCCCTTTGCATTTCCACGACCTACCTGCAGGTTCTCTCCCCACTGAGACTTCCCTTCCAGGAGCGCATCCAGCACTGCACGGCTTGGCTCTCCGTTGGCTGCATCATTTCCACTCACAACATAATAAGATGCTCGAACCCGCTTGAAGAACTCTGGATCTGTGTTCTTCCCACTGCAGTGGTTGGGGATGTAGGCCAAGTCCACATAGACGGGTGGACCCATAGGCACAGACAAACTGCTCTTAGGACTATTGGAAGCTTTGGAAAAAAGGAAACAAGAGGCTATCAAAACCGTTCTGCAAGGGACAAACACTCAGATTAACACAGAAGGACCTGGATTCCAGAAAGACTTTTCCATTGCAGCATTGAAGTTGAGACTTATCCATGCTCCACTGCTCAGAGGTGACCTGGGTGCATTTCTGGGCCAGTGCTGTCACAGGTCTGGGGAGGGAAAGGAAGTTCTGCTATTTTTTGGGGAGGGATTGGAAAGCTTTAGGATCAGGAGCTTTTGTTCTGGGGAAGGGAATCAAAAATCTCTATTAGTAACTTTTGCAGAGTTGTCATCCCAATTAATATTTAGTCCTAATTTTTGTTAATAACCTACTACTTAAACACACAGCCTCCCCCATTATGATGGCTTTTGTATGCTATCCTTTACAGTAGTCTTTCTAGAAGGTCCATCCTGGCTTCCTGCCATCTCTGTGCATCGCTGCTTCTCCTAGGATTCTATTGCTCTTTCCTATCAGCCTTTTTGTACATTTCAGCCTTATCACTGCTTATAACTTTTCATGCCTGACTGGAAAGACCTGCTCCTGTTCTGCTGTGTTTAACCCAGTGCTTTTCTCTGTCTTGGACCTATAGAGATAATGTATTTTTCAGGAAGGATTTCTTACCAGGATTTGTTTTGATGCCATTAACAAGGCTCTTGCCAGGGTTGCTGTGACTACTCCGGGATAACTCATCCTCTGGCATCAGCGAACTACGTGGTTTGGGCTTTTCTCCTCCATCTCTTTCTTTTTTGGCAGTGACAGATTTTGGAGATTTGTCAGATGACTGTTTCACAGGAGTGGGTGATCGTTTCCCTTTCACATCTAATTTCCGGGCAGGTGAGGAAGATTTGGGTTTGCTCAAAGGCTTCCTCACACCTTTGTTCTTTTCTTTTATTTCTTTCTTGGAAATTTTATCAGTTCTGCTCATGCTTTGCTCATTTAACAACATATCAGGGTCTACCATGCAGACATCAGGGTGTGGAGGGTGGGGATGGGGATCTACCATTGGAAAAGGCTGAGGATCATGGCTGGACCTAGAACTGGCATGATGAGCATTCCCCACAGCTTTGTCCACTGGGAGGAAATCAGCATCTTCATCTGAGTCCATGTTGGCATCTGCTGTGATGGATGGACATTCTTCAGTCTCAGGTGGGACATCAGAGTCTGACTGGGAGGTTCCAGAATCACTCACAGATGTTGGAGGGGTTTCCTCCACTGTAGCGCTTTGCATGGGACTGCTCCCAGTGTGGGGTGGTCTCCCTTGCACTGAAGGGTGACCCTCCTCCTGTGAGAGGTCACTGTCTTCAGAGAGCTCATGGGGGCTTGGGTTGATAAATGAGGGAGAGAGTTCTCCCTTTCTCTGCTTGTATTCACATGAGGAAAATTTCTGTCCACAATCAGAACTGCCTCCTAATTGGGTCTCCATGTCATGGGAAGCATCTCCACAGTCCTCTGTTTTTTCACCCCTTTGCACATCTGGGAAAAATGGCTGGAAACTGTTTTCAGGGGACATCAGAGAGGAAGGACGGCTTTGCCTCTCTGTCTCCTCGTTGCCTGTGCATGGAGAAAAACTGCTGTCAGAATCGGGACATGTTTTTTCATCTTTTGCCTCTGCTGCATGGTATGTACTTTGGAAAGCTGACAGACTGGTGCTCACCTCTGTTGGACCATTGGCTGTGGTTTCATCTTCGTGCTGATGATGAGGAAATGGTGTCAGCACCTCAGGGAGAGATGCGAGTGGCAACGGGTGTTCTGCAAATGGTGCCTTCTGCTCTGGGCTGCTACCACAGTGCTGCTGCTCTTGCTCTGCAGAGAATGGTGTGGGCTCTGAGCCCTGGCACTCTTCTCTGCATGGCAAGGTGTGGTCACCCATGCCACAGGGAAATAGAGACCCATGTTCTTCAGCAAAGACAAAGTCTTTGGTTTCAGCTGTATGTATTTTCATAGCATTATCTGGAACCTGTGGAGGCACATCCCAAGCACTCCTAGTAGCCACTTCCACTCCTGCACCTGTGTGAGTGGAAAGCATATGGGAATAGAAACTTTCTGCTGTAGTCATTATCACAGGAGTGGTGGCTTCAGATGAAGGTTCTTCTGACAGGCTGGAAGAATCATCTTTCAGCTGCTGGGTCACAGACTCTTTCTCCACACCTTTGGAGAACACCTTGCCTTCTTCGTATGGACTCAGTGGTGAGAATTTAGGAAAAGATGAGTCGAGGCTGCCGATTTTCTCAGAAACCTCCAAGTACTCATCTTTGTTTCCCTGGTCTGAGAGCAAAGCACAAGGAGACTCTAAAGAAAGAGAAATATCCCCTAAACAGCTTGCTGAGGTTTGCTTATGTCTGATTGTGCTGGCTGTTTTGCTCTTTCCTAGCAAGGAACTTTCAAATCCAGAAGAGCTCTCCATCTCTCTGCTCTCTACCCTCGGGCCCTGTTCATATATCTCTGTCTGTTTGCTGGAAGCAGATTTCAGGTATATGGCTTGCTCTTGGCACTCAGAGGCCACTGCTGCACTTGGATAATCTGCTACCCAGAAATGGGATTCCTTTATGGATTTTTCAGCAATCTCTTTCTTTTGTGAGGAATCATGGCACATTTCTGAAGTTTGCTTATCTCTATCCATGTCTGGCATGTCTCTGTAACCAGCAACATATGTCTCCACAGCAGCAGCTGATGAAGTTGTCCTACTTTCATATTCCTCTTGCCAGCCTGGACCAGAGGGAGAAGAGGCAGTGGAGCTGGGAGAAAGGGGCTCCTGACATTTGGTCTGCAGGAAGGGGTCTGAGACAGGGAACTTGCTGATGGCCGAGATGTGTGCATAGACAGTGCCTGCAGCTTCAGCAGGGCTGTGCAGTTTAGACTCCTTTTCAGACTTCTCCTTAGCACCTTTTTCCAGTTCTGAGTCACTTGCACTTTCTTCCCCTCGACCTGCTTTCTCATAGTATGTATCTTCGGGATTTGGGATTTCAGATTTCAGGGACAGAGATACCTGCTCCTGGCTAGACAAAATTATGTTCTCATCTGGACAACCAGCATCAATATAGGTGGATGATTTTCCTTGATAAGAGGTGTCAGTTGTGGCGGTGGGAGAGGCAAATGCTGTGTTCGCAGACAATGGGTGCAGTGCAGAGTCCAGTTCTCCTGGCAAAGCAGAAGACACCTTCAGTTTTTCCTGTCCTCCTGATGTCCTAGGCCTCTCTGTTTCAGATAAGGGCAGATATCTTTCATGGATGTCTCTATAGTCAAAGACTGAATCTGCTTTATCCTTAGGGGATGCTGGAGATGACAATTCCTTCTCAGCAGAGGTATAAAGGCAGGACTCTTCTTCCTTTGCAGACACATGAAAATTTTGACCTTTTTGAGAGTTCAGTGCTGTCACTGGCACCTTGTCAGTGTGACCTGGGCTGTGTGCACCCATGGCTGTGAAGGGGGAAGGTCCCACTCCAGACACAATTATCTTCTCATAGATGTCAGCATATTTGAAACTTCTTTCATCAGGATAGGGAGTCGGTTCTCTTTCTTCTGGCTCTTGTCTTGTGGAACTGTCATCGTCTCTCTGTGTGTAGACCCCTTCCTCATAGGAATAAGGCTCAGGGGAACTCCTGGAATAGGTCTCTGGAGGATATACCTCTTGGATGGTAGCACCCACACCCCCAGCACCACCCACAGCATCACTGCTTGTTTGGCATGGGCCTTGTCCTGGAGGGGAGTGTGCACACTGTCCTGACAGCTCAGCACTCCCTTCTGTGGACTCTGCAATATATTCTGCTGCTCTCATAGATTGCAACAGGGTAGATGCTGCTGCTGTCTGCTCTTTTCTTCCTTTAGAGACATACAGACCCTCGGTGGATTTGCAGTCATCCTCTTGCCTGCTATCTGACTTGTATTTGCAATCTGTTTCCTGGTACAAATCACTGATGTCCGATTTCTTCTCAGCTGTCTTTGATGGGACATCCTCCCACAAAGGTGGCTTGCACTGCTCTAACTTGCAGGGCCTCTCTGCTCCTGGTGGTACCTCAATCACCTTTCCCACTGCAGACAGGGGAGATGTTGTCAGAACTTGGTCTAGTGACTTTGCATAGATATCTAGGACAGCTTTTTCCTCATCATCTAAGCAGGAACTACCTTGTTTAGAGGTCAACAACAATTCTTGCCTTTTTTTGTTTCCAGTTAAAGCTTTGGCCTGATTTTCCTCACCAGGGACATGCTGAGGAGATGGAGGAGAACCTTCTCTTTGTGTTCTTTCTGGGACAGTGATGTCAGCAGGAATCACATCCACTTTCTTTGTTTCTGATGTAGGTTTGGCACTCTTCCGTGTGTCTTCTTTGTAATCAAATGACTCCATCTTTAAACATTCAGTTTCTGCTTGCAGTAGCATGGGTTTGTCTTCAGCATGGTGAAGCGCCTCATCCTCCTCACTGGGTAATTGCCCTCCTCTCCCACTGTCTCTCCCTTCCTGAAGATACCCAAAGGCAGAACCCCATGCTTCCCTTTCTTGTCCTCTCCAGGTCTGGCTGCCAGGCGCTGCAGGAGACAGGTTCCCTTCCTTTCCCATTTTAGGAAGGGATTTTGTTTCAAATTCTGGTACCTCGTCCAAGAAAGTACTCTCCCTCTCCTTGTCATATCTCTGCCGTCTTCCCAGAAGAGGGACCTCTTCTACCTCTTCTGGAAACCACACTTTCTTCTCATAACTTAAATCTTTCATGCAAAACTTTTCCATTTCTGGAGATTTTTTTTCTTGAGCTTCCTTGAACCTGCAAGATTTTACACCTTCAGTAGAAATGTGTGAAGATGTTTTATCTTCACTTGGGCTAGATTCTGTAAAATGTAAGCCCTTTGCATCTGGAGATACTTCCTGAGAGTCCAAGCCTGCATTTCTTCCCCTCAACAGGCCCTTTTCTGATGCAGAAAATAAACTGCTGTCATCTGGAGACATTTCTTCAGTTGAAGAATCTCTGGGTGACGTGTCTTTAACTGAAATACTTTCTGGGCAAGGAAAATATTTTGATGCTTCTTTCAGTTCTTTGGCAGAAATATCCAGTGATTTTTCATATGTAGCTGGGCTCTGGTCTGCGAAACCCATGGATTTCTCACCTCCTGAAGAGAATTTGTCAGTGCGGTTGGACATAGTTTTTTCTTTTGCAGATATCTCTTCTGTGAAACTAAGCGCTTTGATGTCTTCTGGAGAAATTCCTTTAATAAAAACATCTGAAGAGGTTTTCCTGCTGGAACTCTCAGTAAGAGAAATGGATTTGGTCTCTTCTGGGGAAATATCTTCAATGGAAACATGAGAAGATTTCTTTTCTGTGGCGTCTCCTGTGAAATACAGCAGTTTTCCTTCTTCAGTAATAACTCTCCTAGAAATATTTGAGGATTTTTCTTTACCAATGCTCTCTTCTGTAAAAGAAGGTGATTTGATGCCATCTGGTGAAAATTGCAAAGATTTGTCATTTTTAGATTTGCTTTGGCTTGTGAACTGTGGAAGATTCACATTTCCTAGAGAAGTTCCCGTGGTTACAAATGGCTCAAAGGACAAGTGTTCTGGAAATCCAATTAAACTTTCTGTCTTGGTTTTAGTTCCTTGATCTGTTTCTGGTTTTGTGCTGGCACGCTCCTTGTCCTCTCCGATCACCACTGTGTCCTGCTTGTGGTAAGACAGCCAGGGCAGCTCCTCCCTCCTCACTGGTTCCTCCTGTGCCTCCTCCTCGGGGGACACTGGAACATCACTGCTCAAAATCAATTCGTGCTGCCCAGGTCCAGGCACTTCTCTTTCGTGTCTGGATTTAGCCACAGATGCCTCCTCTTCTCTGAGAGGTTCACCCTTGGCTGCCTTCACCACAACAGAACTTTGGCCTTCCAGTTTCTTGGCAGAGGCATCTGTTTGTTTTTCAAATAGATCTGAATCTACTGTTTCCAGCTTTTCCTCCACTGGAGACTGGTGGAAGGGTGTGTGCCCTGCACTGGTGGGGCCAGATGGAGTGGGAGAGGCCATTTTGACTGTGCTGTCATCGGGACTCGTGCATCGTTCTTCAGCCTCTGCAGAGTCAGCTTGGGAAAATGGTGCTTCTTCAGTGGATAAAGGCATCACCTGTGTGGGAACACCGATTATCACATTATCAGGGCATCCTTGAGGAGCAAACACGGGGGCATTGTAATGCCCTCTGAGTTTCTCAGGAATCTCAATATTTGGAGTCCCGTCTTCTTCATCTTCTTCATCTTCTACCTCCTCATGGAGGTCCTTTTTCTGAGTTTCCAGTTTCCTCTCTCCTTCTGCTAATGCATGGAAATCTTCAGGGGGTGGAGATTTAAAGCATTTGTCTTCCTCTAAGGATGATGTGGGAGAAATTGTGCCAGCAGAGGGAACATAATCAAGACCTTGGGTCGCTTCAGTCCGAGAGGAGGGCATACTGTTTCCTGTGTCCAAAAGTAAAGAGCTTTTCCCAGTCTCTTCTGTTTGTGGTGCTGTTATGGATGCAACAGATTGATCCTCTGCTACTGATGTTGCAAAAGATGAAAGCTTGTCGCATTCAGTAATGGAGGTCGCAGAAGATATGTGTTCCTCCTCAGCTAGAGGTGCTGCCACAATGTTTGTAGGATATGCCAGGATTTCAGACTCCTGGCCAGCATAGCCCTTGGCTGAAAGATCAGCAGGAGGCATGGCCTGTATTCCATGTACTGCTTCAAAAGAGCCTGGATGGTCAGGAACAGAAATGTTATAGGCATTAACATCATACTTCAAGTGTGGGATCCTCTCTTCCTGTTCATCGTGTATTTCTTCATCAGAAATGGTCTGCTCTGTTTCTGAGTAGCCAGGGATAGTTTCATCTTGGATATAGGAAACATGTTCTGCTGTAGCTCCTGGTGGGATTGGCAGGCTGCTCAGATATGACTCTTCCTTTGTTATGTCCTTTCCAAGTAACTTGGTTTTGTCATCCATGAAACTAAATTCTCTTTCCTTCTCTGTGATGGTAAACAGTTTGTCCTCCCTATCATCCTGATTCAGCCCACAGAATTCTCTATTCTTCTCCACTTTGTCCTCTGCTTTCATGTGCTGTTCTTCCTTTTCTTCTAGTTCTGCCTTTTCTATCACATCTTCTCTCTTTTCCTTCTCATCCTCTTCCTGTGCCTCTGTCCCATCAATATACTTTCCACACGTTTCTGCTTCCCTCTGTTTTCTGTCCAAAGAGATTTTCTCCTCTTCCTCCTTTTCTTCCTCTCTGAACACTGGTGGCCGAGCACCCTTTGCCAACAGGTCTGTATGTGATGGCAGGTGTTCTTTGTCAGAAAACATCTGAATGTCCTTGCCCTGCTCAGTTTTTCCCTCCCAGTATCTTATGTCATGGTTTTCATCTATTGTTTTTCTTTCATCCTCTATTTTTTCAGCAGGACCTCCCCTCAGCTCCCACTGATGGACTGCCATTTCCTCTGCTGATGATTCTTTTCCTGTATCAGTAGTAGTTACTCCCTGATCAGGCGTCTTTCTTTTTAAAATCAGATCCACTTCAAGGTTACTCTGACCACTCATATCAACAGAGTCTTTTACCTCTGCTTCAGATGCTCTCATAATCTTATCACTAACCTCCGTATCAGACAGTTCTTGAGTCAACTGCAAAGACTGTCTCTCCTCATGCTTCAGTTCCTCAAAGTCCTTTGTAAGATCTTCTGGTGAAGACAGGACTAACCTCTGTTCCACTATGGATGTCTCTCCTAGATCCACTTGTGCAGGTGCTGTCTCCATTGGTAATGTCTTGAGGTCAGCAGGAACCTTTTCAGGTTCTTTTTCAGGTTTTACTTTGATCTTCTCAGTTTTGAGTCTGCCTGGAAGTTTTGCCTTGTACAATGTTTTTCTTACTTCTGGGGTAAATGGTTTCAAGTCTGGTTTAGAAATTTTTTTGAGCTCTGGTTTGTTTTCTTTCTTTTTATCATCTTTCTTTGAATCTTTTTTCTCATCTTTCTTTCCATCGTCTTTTTTTAAGTCCTTTTTCTCCTTCTTAATCTCTTTCTTTTCTTTGTCTTTCTTCTCCTCTAATTTGGATACTTTCTCTTTGAGATGCTTTTTTCCAACCTTGTCTTTAGCCAATTTTCTTTTCTCAGCTTTGAGAGCATCACTTGTTTCTGTCTTTATCTTTTCATGTTTAACAGGTTTCTCAGGAATTTTCTCTGTGTGTTCTTTAACCTTTTTCTCAATTTTAGCATCCTTTACAACTTCTGGTTTTACTTCCTTAATCCCTTCCTCAACTGCTTCTTCCTTCTTGACTTGCTTTGTCACAGATGGCTTGGGGGAAGACTTAAGACTCTCCTTACTGTCAGTTCTTTGTTTCATTTTGGTCTGCTTCAGCACAGGTGGAGGTATTCCAGAAGTGATATCTTTCTGGGTAGCCACTGGGTACCTTAGAAAATCCAGGTGCTTGAGTTTCTCAAGACCTTCCAGTATCTTATTTTGAGGAGCATTTCCAGGAAACAAAACCCTCACAATTTTCTCTGTTGGGCTGGCTGGTAGCCATACCACTAGGGCTGTGATAGATGTGAGATAGGGAACAGAAATTTCACCTTCTTTCCCACTTGCAAGAATGATGCCAGTCTTTGCTTTACTATTGCCAGCCCATTTCTGCATTAGAAACTGCATTTCTTTACTGTCCTTGACAGGGTTCAGTATATACATGTCCAGCTTACCCACTCCCATTTTGTGGAAGAGCGTGATGGGCTCGATGGTGCTGCTCACCACCCTGTAGAGAGGCTCTGATTTAATGCCCAGTCTGTTGAGATACTGCAGTGTCATACACGCTTCTTCAATGCTCCTCTTTACTTTCATGGAGGCTTCAGGCATCTTCAGCTTTTCAGGAACATTAAAAAAAACCACCCCTAGCTCAGGAGAGATTAGATTCTTCATCCAGTCACTATAATTGGTAGAGCCCTGGGATTGTTCCTCCTCTTGCTCAGCAACTTTCCTCTGCAGCAGCCCATTGATGCCAGGCAGGTTGTCTGCACCAATGTGGGTGAGCAGGATCGAGTCAATCCTATCCAGGTGCCTTACCAGCTTCCAGAAGCAGGATTTCCTCTCAGAGCCACCATCCACAAGGATGTTAAACCCATTGACAGCAAAGAGAGCAGAATCACCTCTTCCCCCAGGGAATATGTAGCAGCATGGCTTAGAAAGCTTCAGAAAACCCCCTGAGGTGGGTGGCTCCAGAAGATCAAATGGAGATGGCACATCAACTGTCTCAGAGACATATTCTGCAAATTCAGACACCCCATCCATTTCCGGTAGAACAGGATCAGGATTCAGTTTCAGATTAATTATGTCCTGAAATCCAGGATGCCCAAGGTTGCTCCAGGCTCCTTCTCCCAGGCACGACACAGTAAGAGAGGCCTTGGTTTCTGAATCAGAGTTGCTGAGAATTTGGGTGACCTAATGAGATAAGCACAGACAAATAAAAGTCAAATAGAGCTTTGAGACCTACGCAGCACTTTAAAAAAGGCAGCTAGTTAATGCAGAAATACTGAAGATACCATGATCACTTTACCAATGGGAAACATTGGGAGTAGATTAAATAGTTTGAAAGCCCATGGAAAATCAATGCATAGAGCCTCTTTTGTTAATGTTGATGGGCTGTTACAGCTTCTGACTGCTGGGTGTGTATTGTTACAAGATCTCAGGAAAGAAAATAAAAACAGGAACCATTGTGTCCTCTTTCCTTACCTCTTGGTAAATCTGGGATATCAGTCCCTGGCTTGGGCTCAAAAGTAGTAGGTTGGGGGTGATTTTTTGTGATTTGTGAATTCTAACCCTGAGAAAACCTTTTCAGTGCTAAGCATCATTGGCTGAACTTAGCCTCACTCACTTAGGCTAGTCAACCACCATAAAGTATTTTGTGTAGTTCTAGTGACATAGGACTTTCTTTTTTATTTAGATTAATTTGCTTTCCTGGCACCTATTTTGAAAGTCATGACTCCATCTTTGCTACATGTACAGGGCTGGGGACATGCCACGTGATTAGTAAGTGAAGTAAGGTCCATATAGTTTCCAAGGTTCCTTACTGCTATGCTGAACATAGATCAACCAAAGAAGTATAATGCCTCAACTTGCTAAGTATCCAAAATGAGATTTGCATACTTCTTTACACTGAAAAGGAACACATTCTTTTGCTTAGCAGCCCTTAAGTGACTAGTTCCTGTCCATTTAAATAAGTGAAGCATATTTGCTGATGTAATCACAACAATAATAGTATCAATTGTTGAAGTATCATCCAATCATTCCTGCAGCAATATATTATATATTCAATCAGACAGAGACACTCTAAACAACATGATCCATGGAAACAGAGCGTCTCAAAAACCAGAGTATCATATCTGTATTGCAGGGAGCACCAACAATGTAAACCTCTCTGAAAAGCTATCATATCTTGCTGAGGTTATCGGCGTTGGAGCAGAGGTTCAGAGATACCCTATAATGTTTTCCAGGCCTCACTGGACAAATCCCTGACCAAATTTGCCTAAATTCAGTGCTTACTCTGCTGTATACAGATCGTGGGCAGACCTTTCATGTGCCCTTCCAAACTGAATGATGCAGCAATTCTGCAATTAAATAGCGGCATCTGTAGTTATGTCATCATCATGTAGTTACTTAATCAGCATTTATTCAATCCCTTATCATCTAATGAACATTCTTAACCTTGTGAACTTGCTTGGTGGACTGACTGGTGACATGAAGAGAAATACCCACATTTTCTAGAATGATGATGGCTTCTCTTGGCTGTTTTTAGAAGCTGCCCACAGTTATGTTAAGACCTGCTTCAAGAAATTTTGAGTGTTTTCCCCCTGCAGAGCCAGTCTGAAAAGTTATTTCAAGCTGAACACTTAAAGGAATCACCCATGCCTGCTCCTTGGAAGACTTAAGCTAGAGAGTTAAAGCAAGATACCCAAGACAATAACATGAATTATTTATAGTATGCATTTTTTTGCTGGATTTCAAACCAATCTGTCTGCAAATCTGCCACCTGAAGGAGGGTGCAGGCTGCACTGCTCTACTGTGCACTCTGAACAGGAGAGAATGTGCTGGATTACAGCTCACACTCACCTCTGGGTCTGAAAGTATCTCAGCAAACTTCTGGTAAGTGAAAGTCCCTGTCTGCAGGACCAAGTCTCCTTCGTGGTCTGAGCTCTGACCACAGAGGATCAGTAGTTTGTGGGCTGATGAATCACACACAAGTGAGCGGACCTGTTACCACGAGACAGAGGGCTGCCATTAGAAGTTACCTACACTCCACACCAGCACCCAGAATCCCAACCCCAAGGGCAGGCAATAACTCACGTTATTCACAAATAGCCAAACCCTACATTTTCTACATACAAGAAGGTTGCTACTTGAAGAGGGAAGGCGCTGCTACCGTCTGCCCAACACAGCTCCGTGTCACATCAGGGTAATTGTGTATACCCTGGTTACTGGCAAGACCAGAACACCTGGCCTTTTTACCACACCTTGCAGCAGACTGGCAGCAGGTTTGCACTCTCCAGAAGGTGCGAAGTGTGATGATCGTGACCTCTATGTCAAGCAAGGGCAGGAGAACTGATGTAGAGAGAACTTGATGGCACACCTGGTCCTTACCTCAGACACAATGCTGTCCACATTAGGATTTACCAGGATCACCGTATCCAGGGTGTCACTCTGGTGATGGAGAGTTCTTTGGCCTGAGAAAGAAAAGGGATTAGACAGGATGAGAGAAGCTGATGAGACAGCAGCCAGCTACTGATGTTTTAGCCTCAAAAACCCCTTCAGCATGGGTTTGATTGCAAAGTTTCAAATTGCATTCAAGACCCAGTTTGATACCTAAGTCTCATAAAACAGAGCAAACTCTTTTCAGCAACAAGGAAAGAAATCCTCCTTCTGGATCAGCACGCTCAGCTCCAACATACTCTGAAGTCCACACAGAGCCAGGCACTTTGAGCTGCCTGCCTGTGCCAGATGGCTGTGTCTGTAAACACTGGTGCAGACAAATTACCCCCTTCCAGACAGTAGTGCCTTGCCTCATCGCAGCTACCACAGAGAGGTGTCTCTGGCATTGTCCAAACCGTAGCCACCACAGGGCTCTGTGAGCCAGTCAGTGGGTGCTAACTCAGCTTTCACTGGAATGGTGCAGCACTGGTAACAAGTCTCCACTCATTCATAACAGTTTTTTTCTTTAATGAAGCATTTTTCTTTAATCCAAATGTGCACTCCTAAGCTGCTGCTATGGGAAGTACCTAGACAACGAGAATTCTCATTCTCTTGCCAGAGGCACAAATAGGAACCAAGGGAGGACTCTGTTCTCTCTATATATTTAGAGGAAAAAAAAAAGGAGAAGCCAAAGAGCAAAGAAGATCCTGGGAGCACAAAAAAAGCAATTTGTGTGCTCACCTTGTCACGGGCATTGTACAGATATTTGGCAAAATGCTACCATAATTCCAGGGCCCTATTAATTTATTAGACAGAAGGGTATTGAGTGTCTGCCACGCTGACAGCCAGGACCAGAGCTGCTGTTGTATGCCCACATCAGATGGCTCTGGTAGGCAGGACAACATACAGCACCCTCCTGCAGCACTTTCCTGGTCACTGCAAGGCAGCACAGAACCTTTCTTGATTAGTCTTTGCTAGTACCTACCTCTGGACATTACATCCACTCAACAAGCCAGGCACTTAGAACTTAAATGTTGGAATGGATAATTTATAGGGTTTAAGATTTTCACAGGTTTTAATCCCTCATATATAGTTGGAGGTCCATAGACCTTCACTGAAGATGAACACCAGTTTTTATTTCACATCTTTCAGACAACTGTTGCTTGCTGACAATGTTGTTCTTTCCACCCTCCACAACCTCCCATTGCCTCTTTCTAGGCAGATCTCGTTCCTTCTAAAATAGATCTATCTATCTGGTGGAAGGAAGGATGGGAAGGATGGGAAGCATGGAAGGTCGATACTCAGCATAGCTTTAAACCAAACTCACTTTGCTGGAATGTTTTACTAGCAATTAACCAGACAGATAAGCCCAAAAGGTAGCTTTCAGCCCAAAGCGAACTAAGCTCTCAGCAGAACTATTTGTACTCGGCATCTCTAGCTGCTTTCTGAACTTTTCAGTTTGGCTAAAAATCATCCCTCTAGACTAAAATCAAACCATCACTACGCAAAATTCACTGAGTTCAGTGGCATTTCTGGCACTTGATGTGGAATAGCTATATGGCTGGAGACACCGGGAAGCAAGGCCCCGTGCACAGAAGGGATGCTGCAAGTGAGCCATGGGGAGCAGCATGGGAGGGTGGGAGGAGGCACAGGTGAGGAGGGCCCAGGAGCTGTTCTGGGGCATTCTGTGCAGCCAGAAGAAACAAAACCCCACTCATCCTCGAGGCAATGATAACTGTGAAGGCATTGCTGGTGTCCCAGAAGTGTTCACAAGGAGCACCCTGGTTCCTCACAGATCCATTGTGCAGCATTCACACAGCTCCCCCACGCTGGGACCTCCAGTCCTGCTGCTTGGGGCATCCAGAACAGAAGTGATCTGCCCCCATTTTTCAACATTACTACTGAGACAAAGTGACACAGCCTCTGCCACCTTGGTGCCTGCACACCACAGACATCATTTTAGCAGTGGTTACCCACAGCACTTGGGGAACACCGCCTGGTGCACAGCACCAACACCAGCAGCCTCATCTTTGTGCCACGTGCCAGGGAGGGCTCTTGGGCACAGTGCAATCACCGTGGCCACCTGTGGGCACCTTTCCAGGCACCAATGCGCAGGCATTGCGGGGACAAGGCCAGCCTGTGGGCTGCCAGCCGGGCAGCGCTGGTGACAGTGCCAGCTGCAGAAGCAAGGGGCTCATCTGTGGCACTAACAGGCATGGAAACAGTGCTTCTCCCTGCCATCCCGAGATCCGAGGCAGCTGAGCTGTCCCACTGAGGCTGTGAACAAAGCCTGGCTGTTAGCATTCTGCTGGCAGCCCCTCACCCCACAGGGAATGTCCCCTGCACGTGGGAAAGAAAGAGAAGGCTCAAGCTGCAGGGCCAGCAGTTGCTGGCAGATGGGAGGGATGAATGGGGAAGGACTGAGCCCTGTGAAGGGCTGTGAGGATGATTAAGGGACTAAATTGTCTTCATACAAGGTGAGGCTGAGTGTGGGGGAAGGATATTTTCAATATGAATAAATAAATACCTGATGGGAGGGAATGAAGAAGAGGAAGTCAGGCACTCTCAGTAATGCTCAGTGACACGATGTGAGGAACAAATTAAGATGCAGGCAATTTCATCTGAACACAAGAAAAACACTGTTTTTACTGTGAGGGTGGTCAAATACTGGAATAGGTTGTACACTGAGGTTGTGGAGCATCCATCCCCAGACATACTAAAACCACAGCTGGATACAGGCCTGGGAAGGCTGCTTTTGCTTACCCTTCTTGAGCAAGTGTGATTGGACTAGACAATCCCAAGTGCCTTCCAGCCTACAGTTTGCCAATTCTGTGACATTGTGAAGCATTGCACCCCTCCATAGCTTTGCTCCTGACATGCTGTGGGGTAGGTTCCCTCTCTTCAGTTGCAGCAGTTGATTCTCAGGAAGACAGAGGAGCAGAGCTCTACAGATAGGCCATTTCCAGAAACATGGGAGTCACTGCACACACCTGTGCACACCAATACCCCAAACTGTTTTTTAACTAAATTCAGAGGCAAAGCAGAACAGAACAGAACCGCACAGAACAGAACTCCAGGCCGCAAACTGTGAGTAAGGCAGCAACACAGTGCCCTAACATGGCCCATGCCCCAGACCCTACTCACCCCAAGCTGGGGCAGTGGCCTTCCCAGCCCAGTGCAGTAGCAGCCCGTGCCTGGCTAAGGGAACACACATGCCCAAGGCCTTTGTGAATCCAAGCGCTTATCAGGCTGAGAAGTCCTTTGCTGACCACTTTCTCTATGCAGCCTGCAGTAGCAGCTGCACAGAGGGTTTAAACACACAGCCTGGCACATCATTCCTCTCACTAACAAAAACCGTATGTACCAGAAACACGTAGCAGTGTGACTGACATTGCAGACATGGTGACTGGGAGCATGCAGTTCAGGTCACTTCCAGGTATTTGTCCTTATTAGAGCTCTATCACAATGAAATGCATGCCTGGAAATAGCATTGCAAATTAGAAAATCCCTCCATTCCATTGACCAGTACAAGGAATATCCTTCTCAGACTCCTGAAGACTGCAGTCTTCAATTTACCTGGAACAAATATCTGGACACAGCTCATCTCCAGGTGGATTCTGAACACAGATCCCTGACCCTGTGCAGCTTTCTCGAACTATACTCAGAAGATGCTACATAATATAAATCTCCTCTCTTCAGTAGCATTACATTTCTCATTTTGTATGAACCCTCACTCTATGTGTTCAGCCACATTCTGATTTCTTCAATCACCCCTGTGCGTGTGCACTTCCAGGAAATATTCTCATCCATCATGTCCCCACCAAGGCAGAAAGCCTCTGGTCCTTACCACTTGTTCCTTTGGAGGAAAGTTTCTTTAGTCCCTTGGAACTGCTGTCATCTATCCCTATGGCCACTGGGATGAGCAAGAATAGAAGTACACAAGAAGGCGCACAGAAGATTCAAAGGGTGTCATTATTGTATTTTCTGTATTATTTCTGTCATGGAGTTACTTTACCTTTAAGAAAGTTTAAGTTGCTGGGAACTGCCTGGAGTCTTTTCTCCTGACCAATTATCGGTCATTGCTGAGAATTGACAGCAGTTTAGGCCATTGAAAAGTGGGATCAACTTGTGAACCCTACCTTAAAGTGTAAAACCAGAGCTCTCTTGGTTCTCTTTGTTTCCTGGCTGGGAAGGGTGGCAGAACTCCAGGCCTCCCGTTCCCTGCCCAGGCCATGCGGCCGGGCGGGGACTGGGCTGGGCCCAGCGTCTCCCGGCCGGGGGATGCGGGCCCTGTGGAGAAGGTTTTCTCCGGGCTCCGGCCGGGCCGGGCCGAGCCGATCTCTGGCTCGGCTGCAGGTTTTTTGCTGTAACTAAATTCACTAGAAACTGCTGAGTGAAGAAGGAGAGAGGCTCTGGACCTGCAGCGGGCTGGGCGCGGCGCCTACACTCTCCAGAGCAGCCATGAGGAACTTTCCATCGCAGACGGCTCCAGCTCCTGCACCGGCCGAGGCCACAGAACTACCTACAACAGCCTGGGCAAGATTTTAACTCTTTCATTACCCAGATGAGACTTGCGGATTAATCTTTTTATCCAGAGAGAGAAAAAGAGAGTGATCAACATGAAAAGAGACTTTATAAACTACCAGTGACAGGAAAGAAAAGAAGCTTCAGAAAAGGTAGAGAATTAAGAAGATGCTTTAATTAAGCTGAAATATCTTTCTGTTAAAACTATGGAAATGGACAATAAGGTCTTGAAAACACTCCTTTAATTCATGACAGTAAATAGGGAGGAATAGAGTGTTCAAAGTGTAAATTTTGAGTAAAAAGTAGAGTAATTATGGTACAGTGAAGTGCTGGAAGATTTGAAGCCTTGAGAGGCAATGAGAAAACTGTTTTCTAGTGAAGCTCACAGAAACAGATGAAGAAGACATTTTGCCTTTGAATAACTTATCCTTAAAAATCCCATCCCTAGACTCATGGCCCATACACACTTGGGATGTGAAAATGGGAGGAGTGGGCTCTAATAACAGCAGCT